CAACCTACTAGCAATGGCCTCCAACCTACTAGCGATGGCCTTCAACCTACTAGCGATGGCCTCCAACCTCCTATAGCAATGGCTTCCAACCTACTATGGCCTTCAACCTACTAGCGCCCCCAACCTACTAGCAATGGCCTTGGCCTCCAACCTACTAGCAATGGCCTTCAACCTACTAGCGATGGCCTCCAACCTGCTAGCGATGGCCTCCAACCTGCTAGCGATGGCCCCCAACCTACTAGCAATGGCCTTCAACCTACTAGCGATGGCCTTCAACCTACTAGCGATGGCCTCCAACCTCCTATAGCAATGGCCTCCAACCTACTAGCGGTGGCCTTCAACCTACTAGCAATGGCCTCCAACCTACTCGCAATGGCCTTCAACCTACTACTAGGTGGCTGTGGCTTTTTGTTGAAGATATAACTTAGGTTATAAGTTCTTTAACGTATGTTATAAACTATATAAGTATTTTAAGTATTCGCTTCTACTTAGAACTAATTTGGTGATCTTATAACTAACTTATTGGATTTATGCTTTCTACTTAGTTCCTACTTAAGGTTAACTTAGGTTCGACTTAGGTTGAACTTAAGACCCATGTTTTTTTTGCACTATTTGACGTGATTATGTTTTGTAATTTGTGGCCCAAGGGACCCGTTGCACGCCTATATATGAACGGCGAAAGGTGAGATAGGGTTTGTCCGTTCGAACTATGGCCAATCTGCAGGTCTGTCAAATCCTTCAAGTCTTGGTGGACAGACTTGATGGGGCGACAGGACACTTGCGAACGGAGCAGGTACAAGGCATTTGTGCCTGCACAAAGTGGATGAGGTCTGAATGTTTGAACTTTTCTGAACTTTTCTTGGCGGACTTATTTTCTGAACTTCGAAAGGATGAGGGTCGGATAGATCGGCGTAGCTGTACTGCGCAAACAGACCTCTTTCCATGGCCAGGGCACCAAAAAAAAGTGCGTGCTCCGGAGGGTTGGGGGAATGTAGGCGGAATGTAGGCGAGGAATCTAGAAAATCAAGCTTTTTAGATGTAGGCGCAACTAAAGTAAACATACAGACAATGTAGGCGAAATGTAGGCGAATGTAGGCGGAGCAAACGCAAGCGCAGCTTCTGGTGGCTTTTTTGAGTTGCTTTGTTCCGCAGCACGGGAGCAAGCAAGCACAAATGGAGCAAGCAAGCCGGCCTGCACTGGAGATCAGGCTGCCTTCACAGATCCAACCCTCCGGCAAAGCATAAAATGTCATTTGGTCTCAAGGAGACTGCGCGTGGCAGATGTGTTGCTTTGGGAAGGTGAGTCAGCTGGCCAAATTGAGAACATTGTGGAAGGTGACCCTACATCCTTACCATATGGCAGTCTGTGGCGCAGACTGCATTGCAGATCTTGGTATAAACCCAAGATCAACAGCACATATTGCGTAGCAATGTGGTGGCGCTGGGATGATGACAAGAATCTCCTCCTGTGTTTGCACTGAAAACGTTTCGCAAGTCGAAAAAAAGGGAGTTCTTGCGTAAAATCAACGAATCAAAAAAATTATGATTGAAAAAGCCAAGGCCTACTTAAGTCCTACTTATAACCTAGGTTTTAACTCCGATAAGTCCACTTATGCATAAGTTCGATAGCTAAGTTATAACATCTACAAGTTAGTTACAAAAAGCCACAGCAAACTAGTAGCGATGGCCCCCAACCTACTAGCAATGGCCTTCAACCTACTAGCGATGGCCTCCAAC